TGATAAAAATACATTTTGCGACCTGAAGTTTTTGATTTTTTAAACAGCCAATTTTTGAGCTAGAATGCTCATCTTCGAACTCGATCTGTCTTTTTATGATAGAAAACGACCCTGAAAATCCCAGGTCGCTATCTCAATTCTTTCTCGAGTTATCGTGCGGACAGACATACAGACAAACAAACAAACAAACAAACAAACAAACAAACAGAATGAAACTTTTCCGGTCAGTGGAGTTATGGGCTTCGCTAATCGCTCAGCCAAAAAATTCTTATGTACAGGACGTTCTTTTAGGACAAAAACCGAGTTACAAACTGTTCGTCATTTTAGGAATGTATTCGTTGCTTTAAAATAACTAGCTATATGTACGCCAGACCACGTCTCGCGTAACAGGCTTCGCGATATCTCACGAAACACTGTTACGCTGCGACGCGCCTGGCGCACATATAGCTAGGCCTGCGGCGCTGACACCCGAGACGGGGTAATAGGAGTGTGTATACAATTTTTCGAAATGAAGTCTTTTAAATGATTTAATCGACCATTTGATCATTTTCGGCTCATTTTGGTCAAGAAATACCCCCTAGCACCTAAACGGTACAAGATAGAGCCAATCGGACGAAATTTTTGCCTGAAGGGCTCTACTTTGACAAGTTACCCCTTAGGAACTCATAAAAAAATATGTTGATAAAGATTCATTTTGCGACCTGTAGTTTTTGATTTTTTTAAAAAGCCAATTTTTGAGCTAGAATGCTCATCTTCGAACTCGATCTGTCTTTTTTTGGTACAAAACGACCCCTAAATTCCCAGATCGCTATCTCAATCTATTCTCGAGTTATCGTGCGGACAGACAAACACACAAACAAACAAACAAACCCACAAACAGAATGAAACTTTTTCGGTCAGTGGAGTAATGGGCTTCGCTAATCGCTCAGCCAACAAGGTAGATGTACGCCAGACCACGTCTCGCGTAACAGGCTTCGCGATACCTCACGAAACACTGTTACGCAGCGACGCGCCTGGCATACATCTACCTTGGCCTGCGGCGCTGACACCCGAGTCAGGTAGTGCAAAAATGTGCACAAAGATACTGGCCTCCGGCCCGTCAACGCCCGTCAGTTCGACTAATCATGCATGGTTGTACATTTTTTCGCTTATTTTCGCCAAAAACACCCTCTAGTGCCTCAACGGTTTGAGCTAGAGCAAAACGGACGAAATTTTCGCCCAAAGACCTCTACTTTAATGAGTTACCCCTTAGGAGACCATAAAAAAAATATTTTCAAAAAACGTCATTTTTTGGACCCGTTGTTTTTGATTTTTTAAAAATCCAATTTTTGAGCTAGAATGCTCATCTTCGAACTCGACTTGTCTTTTGAAGGTACAAAACGACCCTGAAAATCCCAGGTCGCTCGCTCAATTCGTTCTCGAGTTATCGTGCGGACAGACACACACACAGACAGACAGACGGACAGACAGACAGACAGAAAAAGTTTTTTCCGACCAGACGGAGTAATAGGCTTCGCTTATCACTCAGCCAATGAAGAAGTTTGTGTTGAAAAATTAACAGGACATTTTTCGTCAAATTACGAAAAAACTTCCAACAGTGTACGCAAGTTGAATTACATATATTGATTTATTTGCGTGGCAGCTCAAACGTATTACATATAATTATTTGAATGCTGTACTTGCGTTGACTAAACTCTTGTTTCCTCTTAATGCATATAGTTCTGTGTTACTTTTAACAGCACTGGATGTTCTGACGAGGATTGCAATAGCCGTGGAGCGCATTGCTGATCAAGGAGCTGCATCTGGTTTAGCAAATGTCGGGCCAGCTGCCAACGTCATGCCAGCTTCCAACGTCATCGAACCTTCCAATGTCATGCCAGCTGTCAACGTCATCCAAGCTTCCAACGTCATGCCAGCTGCCAGCTTCATCCAAGCTGCCAACGTCAAGCAAGATGTGGGAACCCCAGGCCCAAGCAACTACGGTGTCCTAGAGATGAGTGAAGATAGTGATGGTAAGTGTGTAATATAATCTTATCTTTTCTAGACTTCTGATATTGTGAATCAGTAACTTCACACCATTGTCAACTTGTGGAACTTCATAGCATTCCCATTTACAAGTGACACGTGCATGTTTTGTGTATCAGTAAAAAGTTGGATAGTTACTCGAACTATTTTTCCTCGCAGATGAGATTGAAGCTGGTAAGCGGTGCGGGGTCTGCAAGGGCCCTTGTGCAACAGCTAATGCCCTAGACTGTGGGCACTACCCATTTTGTGGACCATGTGTGGATTCAATGACTGCTAAGGCAAAATTCCATACTGCACAAGTTCAAGTGTCCATATTGTATGAAAATTGTTAAAGACATTTTAGAGTTGAACCTCTCTTCGTTTTTCTATCATAACTTGTGGAACTTTTTAAAGTATTATTTTAGAGCTTGAACTACAGTCTTCCATTTAATCTCTTTTTAGTAATTTATTGCACTCAATATATCTCCTCTTAAGCAGTTTCAATTCCATTGCACTGAATATCACTTAATCTTGAACAAATGTTTTGTAGGACTAATTTAACTAGTTGGTAGGAGTGGACAAAAAATAAGAAAGAAAAATCTTAAAGAAACATGGGAAGGGCGGATTTGCAACTTATTCGTAGTACACATTAAGTCACATGCCAAAATACACAGAACTCCTTGATCAGCAAAAACTATTGCTCTAAACAAACAAAGGAATCAAAACAAAAACTATTTATTCTGTATTCTCTAATTGTGCATTCTCTCTTCACTTTGATTTGACCTATGGTGCCAACATTAAGTATAAGCATTACAAATAGCATCGGTAACAACAATTGTATTGCTTCTATAAGTCTAGATCATAATACAGGCATCCTCATATGAACATGAATATGGATGATAACATATAGTAACTACTTATGAGAAGCATCGCAATTAAGCCTCCTCCACTGCCCTGTCATAGGCGTTTGCAAATGTGTACGCTGCTGCCCGCAGGTATCTTAGGATAGCAGCATCTCTCAGTTGGGGACCAGCTTGCCTGAGGTCATTGGCAAGACGGCGGAGGCGTCGGTCATTGGCTATTGATGCAGCCTTCCTTCGGCGTCCAACAACCTCACCGTTTTCTAGTGCATTAGCATCAATCCAGGCTGCATCCTCAATCGAGGCAATGCCACCTGTAATTCCAATGAAAAGTATAACACTAATTAGGGCAATAAAAAATCACCATATAGAATGAAGAGAACGACAACGCTTTGCCAAAGCAAAAAATCTGTTCAAACTCTTTTGAAAATGGGATTTGTCCGATCAGATTGCATGTTTAATAAATTTTTGAGGTATCCTGCATCAATAACTTACCAATGAAGTCATAAATATTGGGGTGGGGGACCACCATGTATTTCTTGAGCTGCCTGTGATGGCTTTTACAGGTATTATTGGTACGATACCGGGAGCCATACACAGACATGAGCCTATTTTTGTGCTCATTGTTGATCCAGTTTATTAGGATGTAGTCAAAGAATGGTCTCAGGATACCATATATTCTGCGACCTTCATTTCTGGCTTCATTCATGATGATCAGAAATCCTCTTCTAAAATATCTGCGGGGCAGCAGAGGAATGTCACAGCAGAGCCTTACCAAACTGCGCACAGGTCCATCCCTCCTGAGATGTACAGTCATGTGAAGTTGCTCTTTGGCATACCTGATGAAGGCCTGTAAATTATAAACCAATATTTTAATATTATGTTTAAAGGCACACTGAAAATTATCATCTCCTATTTTTAGGAGATTTTTAAATTAAGTGTTTAGAGGTAACCATTATCTCACATAAGAGAGTTTTTATATGCATAAAATGATAATATTAAGTTACATGGTCAACATATTGATAGCATTAATCATGACACATAAAATTTACAAGAGTGTAAGAAACATGGAATGAAAAAGCTTATAACAAATTAATTTTAAGCACTGCTAACAGCTCCTTTATCTTCCACAGGACTTTACTAGATGTCCTTCTCTGGTGGAATTTAAAAGATTCATATGCACCCAAGGTGTACAGCTTCAATAACACAAACCATTTATTTTTGAAATTGACAAATTCCAATGTTATTTTTCTTCTCTCTTATCTCTTGTATTACAGTGCCCCTTAACAAGAGCTCCACTGCTCCATCATAATAATCCAACTATAAAGTTGCTAAATCTTGCAAATCTGATAATTGTCTAGATAAAAACTTGCTTGGCATTTCTAGAAAATATTAATTTTACAATATACAATAGGAGTATTATCATCCCAGACTCGACAATAATCTTTTGCATTACAAAGAGTAACAAAAGCAGACAACTTAAAAGCTCCATAGACTTTTCTCATAGATGATTTAAGGAGGTAAACCACTTTGTTATTTTGTCTTATTGTGCAGGAAATTAAACTTACACGAACAACATGGAAGAAGCAGCCTTGAAGTTCTGCATTCGGGAAGTTGTCCTCCCAAGCATTCTGGGCAGCAGGTTCAAAGTCAGTTACTATTTTCCTTACATTTGGTGCACCATTCAAAAGTGCATGCAGAGCTTGCAACACAGCATCATATGCACTCTCAGTCCGTCTTGTCATTATGACAGTTGCAATAGGTATAATATGGTGGTTCCAGTTACCTACCACAGTGTAGACCTACACAAGAAAAGAAACAAAAAATAGTATTGAAAAAAGGACAACATTTGAATTTGAAAGGACACTACTAAAAACAATAATTCGGAAATTTAAGAGGAATTCAGGCTAAAGATAAAGTTGTGAATTTTGTAAAATTTAGTCACAGCAAAAATTTTGAGTTAAGTTCAGTAGAAGAACTTACATCCAGGACGAAGCATGCTTCCAAATATTATTTCCTTTTTAACGTATGACAGGTTTTGTCCATTATGAAACTCATACCAAAAGAACAAATTCTATACCTAAAGGAAGATCTGAGATATACACTATATCTAATAATGTAAGCGATCACAACACGCTACTCTGGTCCTTCAAAATTAAAAACTTCATAATACCAACTGATCTACCAACCACAACTGAAAAAATTAAAGTTAGTAAGTTAATTGAAAAGTATTCAGAATATATCAATGTGGACCTACAAGAGTTTGGTACAACAGAGGATATCTCAAAATGTTTCCACTCGTCATTCACTCGCGCTCTAACTGAAGCAACTAAGATTAAAACTGTCGCAAACAAAAAGAAGAAACTGAACCCATGGACAAATGATGAGCTGATGAATCTCTCAAAAACTAAGCAAAAAATTTGTAAGAAAATCAAACTTGATCCGACAAGTGAATACTACAAATCCCTACATCATAATATAAGCAGCCAAATAAATGCCTTAAGAAGAAAACTAAAAACAAACTACTATGATAATGAAATGGAGGGTCTTATAAAAAAGAAGAGACCTATTTGGACTGTACTTAAAGAACTAGCCGGCATTAAGTCACAAAAAGGAAACAAAATTGAGACAATCGAGTTTGAAGATGTCACTTATGATAACCAGTCCCATATTGCTGAAGCACTAAATAAATTTGATATCAATGTTGGACCTAATCTATCAAAGCAGCTACAACCAGGTATGGGCAACTGTCTAGATGCAGTAACCTGCATCTCAGATGACCTTATTCTAAAAGAAGTTACAGAAGAGGAAATATTAAATACCATCAACAGCCTCACAAATAAGACTTCTAGCCCCAATGGGATAAATAACAAATTCTTAAAACAAACAAGTCTTAGTGTGGCCCCAGCACTCACAAAACTTATAAACTCCTCTTTCCAAGAAGGAATATTTCCCCAAGAAGCAAAATTAACTGAGGTCAAACCAATCTTTAAGTCTGGACTCTCAACCGAACCGGGAAACTACAGGCCTATTTCTATCCTATCTGCCCCATCCAGGATATCGGAAAAGTCAATGTACAAGAGACTCTTGGATCACTTGAATACGACTAATTTCTTCGCAAATTCACAATATGGTTTTAGAAAGAATAAAGATGCCCAAGGGGCAATCTTTGATCTTGTTGTCAATATCCAGCATAGTCTAGATACAAATAAGAAAAGCATTGCCATATTCATTGATCTCAAGAAGGCTTTCGATACGGTAGATCATCAAATACTCCTAAAAAAATTAGAAAAGGCTGGAGTTAGGGGCCGAGCAAATGATTGGTTTGCCTCCTACCTCAATGGTAGAGGTCAATATGTGAGGCTGGAAACAACTTGCAGTAATACTCTAACAATCCTATGTGGAGTTCCACAGGGCTCCATCCTAGGACCCCTGTTGTTTCTTATATATACAAATGACATAGTTAACCTTCCACTGCTTGGTAAACTTACTTTATTTGCTGATGACACAGTCTTATTATATGAAGGAACTGACTACAACAGCATTCAAGAAGCAGCCATACAAGATCTACAAACTCTATATAACTGGTTCTGTCTGAACAAACTCTCCTTCAATATAAAAAAAAACTAACTATATGATTTTTCATAAGATGTCAGAGGAACCAAAGGATCTGCTTATGCTGTTGGAAGGACAAGCACTACAGCGAACTGAAACGTTTAAATATCTTGGACTGATTCTTGATGAAACACTCAGCTGGAGTGACCATATAAACAACCTCCTGCCCAAACTTAGAGCAGTGAGTAGGCTAATCTTTCGCCTTAAAAAAGTCCTCAGTTTCGACAACTTAAAGAGCCTGTACTATGCTTATTTTCATTCACATTTAATATATATGTGCAATATATGGGGCCTGACTAATCAAATTACAGTATCAAAAATAAGAGTGCTGCAAAATGGTGTCATTAAGACTATGCTCGGGGTTGATAGAATGTATCCAACAACTCAACTTTATAAAATCACCAACATCATGCCCTTGGATACTCTCATAAAAATAAGACTGGTCACCATCATCATACACCACCTCCTCAACTTCAAAACTATCTCCACCCCTCTCTCCACCATTAGATCCATTCACAATAAAAATACCCGCTCTCTCAATCTCCTCTCACTCCCCCCAGTAACATCAGTTAAATATGGAAACCACAGCATTCACTATCAAGCTCTGAACATCTACAATATCCTTCCAATCCATATCAAGCAACTCAACAGAAGAAATATAATCAAAAAGCAACTAAAAGCTCACTTCTTGGACCTGTTCTGCAGAGATCTCCTACCAGTCTACTTTGACTCTAGTCACAATGTTTTTTCAAATTAATTTATCTTTGTTAAATCTTCAAATTAATTTATTTTTGTTAAATCTTCATTATATTTTTATCCGTGTTATTGTTTAAATACTTGTTGCCGTGCATCGCTCACCGCACCCAACTAACAATTGTATAGTCCACAACAGGACCAGTCCCTTTGGACAATCTCTTTTCAATAGATAAATAAATAAAAAATACCTATATATTATTGTTTTCAGTGATAATATGCATATCCTCCACAAAAATTACCTGTGAAGCACGTGTCAAATCTGGAATAGCTGGAAGAACTTGAAACGTTCCATCACCAAAAAAATAATCCATGTTTCTTGCAGCAAAATTGATCATTCTTCTGGATGCAAATATGACACAGTGAGAACCGTCAGCAGCATTCACTGAAGCAGCATAAAAGTTGTCCCTTCCATCCTTTGTCATGGTAATAATTCTGTTTTGCGGTCTAAGAATTTCAGATAACTCCTGCAATGATTGTGGTGGCTCGGGATAAATAGAACGCCTTGCCCTCTGCATTCAATGCAATGCAGGGCGCATTCGAGCAAGGGACACTCTTTGCTTTACAGCCATATTATATCTGCAATAAGACATTGAGGATATTTCAAACGTAAAGGAGACACTTACAAAATTTCAATCGTAACACATGTCTTCCAACTTACGGTTATCTTTCCTGATTAATGATAGTTCTGAAAGATACATATTCTGCTGTCCTGCACCTGGCTAAAATTTTTCCTCGGAGCTCCCTTTCTGCAGGCTCATGAACATCAGGATTATGATTGTGAGTATTAGCTTTGCTAATGAAACCGTCCCTTTCGTTGAAAATAGCCCGTCCATGGCATAATCTGCCCTCATATTTTGCACATTTTAGGTAAACACTCGTATCGGTTACACGATTCTTCTGATAGACATACCCGTCATTTTTGTGATACACAAATGTACCAGGTTGAGTACCTGGTATTTTAACAGGCAAGCGGGGCATTGCCATGGCTAAGCCGCCTAACAACCTGGTTCAGGGACAAAAACTTAAGACTGGTTGGTACATATTACCGCGCAAAACGGCAAAGCAACTGACAAATGAAGGAGCAAGGGGTAGGGGTAACAGGGAGGGGAGGGAGAATGCAAGGGAGGGGATTCGGGGTCCCGCAGCGTTAACGACTGCGTATGCATCCGATTTTGGAGAAAGTGCACAGCATATAAAACTGTGTGAAGTAAAATAGAGAAATGAACTAAATATTTTGAATAGCCTATGCTTAAGTTTACTGTATAACATCAAGTGATATATATATATAAACTTCAGCACACATACCACCCTAATACCAATCTTTAACAGATGTTCTCTTAAAAACAAACCCCACTGACACCCTCTGAGAAATTAGGGAAATCCAGGTGCCAGAACAGCTCTCTCCCTGTACTTTATTGCAATCCATACGAGGTAAAACAAGAAATTTTCCACAAAGTATTCATAGTTTAGGATGTGTCTATAAAAATTTAAAAAGCCCTGGGAAAAGTGATAAAACTGAGTAATGATACAAATCCACTTGAAATTTCTTTTGAATTCAAGTCAGCCCTCTGCATTACAGTGTAAAACAGGGTATTTATTTTCCCCCTAGAGAATTAATACGTCTCAAACACACTATCTGTTTTCAAAGTTGTTGTTGTGAAACACAACCAGGGATGCATAAGTTGGGAATGAAACAGCCCCAATACAGGGCGTCCTTTGGATACAATGCATATAATTCAAGTAGGTACATCATGAGGCAAGAATGACTATTTCTTAAAACCAAATTATTTAATGGAGTTTTTAGAGGGAATTTTAAGGATGCCCAAGATTTTGATGAGAAAAGGAAACCAATCAAAGTAAATTACAACAGAGAGGGAAAAAAATACCATATTAAAATGCACATCAAATGAGTAACTGGACCAGCGGCAGTAACGTTGAGAACCACACACTGAATTTTACTGCTATAAAATTTATCGTATGTTCTTGAGAATGGGCGAGGATCAACATTCCTTGGAAATGGAGAGTCCTTAGGGGTGATTGCATTTCTGCAGAGAGAATAGAAAACAAAACAAACTAAAGTACTTTGAGAAAGGCTATGCTACAGCTGAAACAAGAAGATGTAGAACAAATTTGTATCTGTCAAATACTTACCGTGCCAGATGTTTCCAGATCAAAACGTAGGGCCCCGTGCGTTAACATTATGCACGGGGTAGCTGAGCGAAGTGCATTAAATTTACAGAAGAGATAAAAAACAGAAGAAAACTAATAAGGGTCCGCCTATTAGGTAGGCAACCGTTCTCTGCTCCTAGACCGAAAGAGATTGGGGGGGGGGGGGGGGCCTTCCGGTGGGGGGGGGGGGGGGGGGGGGGGGGGCTTAAATGTATGCCTTACTGCAGTTCACTTACAGAATATGCCTGCTACTGTTCCTTCCTATCCCCACTGCCCTCCCCCTACTTAATTTACCCTTTTCTGTAATGCCATATGAAGCTCACATTTCATTGAATTCCCTTTATTTGTGAAAGGTGAAATTCTGTTAGATTGCCTCTGGTTGAAGTAAAATTCAATACCCTAATATTTAATTCAATTTCAAAATACATTTAAACTTCTCTCCTACGACAAGTATAACTTGTCCCTCTTTCATTCTTTTTTATCAGCTTTCTCCGAGACATTTGAAGAATCACGAGTCACTGAAGTATATTAAATTGAAAGTTCTATTTATAATGTGTCGTATCATACAGTTTAATTTCAATGCTCCCACCATTTTATTGGATATCATTAAACATAATGTGACTCCAGACAAAGCTAGTCCATTTAAGAAAAAATATA